GGCTAATCACTATCCTAAATAGTCGGGGTTGGCAACCCCGACTATTTAGGATAGTGATTAACATGCTAATCACCCTTTAATTAGGGTTTAACACCCTCCTAAATAGTCGGGGTTGGCAACCCCGACTATTTAGGATAGTGATTAACCTGCTAATCACAAAACCGGGTCGATTTTGATAAATAAAAAAAAACGGTCGATTTTGAAAAAAAAAAAAATTCGGTCGGTTTTGAAAAATTGTTCTTTTAAAGTTTATGGCATTCCCAATCCCGTATACTTTAACAATATAAAACTAACCGCGATCTCTCTCTCTCCCATTCACACGCTCACATCCACTCACTCTCCCCTCGACTGCTCCCTCTCTCCTCTAGACCCTAGGATTTTTTTACCCCATCCAACTACTCCGATCACGACTCCATCTCTGACCATTTCCGCTGACCATCTCCTACCGTCGGTGACTAACTTTCGTCTGTGGTCACGCCAGAGTTAATTTCTAGGGTTTTTAACATAAATTTTGATAATTTCTTCAAAATTTCATATTTTCCCCTAAATTTTCTCAACTTATCATCCACTTCATCCCCAAATAGCTTGTTTTAGTTTACTAGTATAGTGCACTTGCGTTGCACGTGGACATATTTGTTTTATGTTCTAATACTTTACACAATTTATTATTTAATTAATGGAAGAGTTTCATTTTGAATGTAATTATAACAACATTTGTGGACTTATTTGTAATTTTCTTACAATTTAGATCATATACTTCTTTCAATCTTCTTAAGATTTAAGTTTTGAACTATATAGGGGTTTATCTGTAAAAAATTATGAAGTTTTAGTATATTTCTATAAATATATGAAATTTCAATGGTCTTTGTGAAAATTATGAAGATCCATGATTGTTTGTGAAAAAATTCAGGGTTATTTTGTGAACATTGGCAAAGCATAGAATACCCAAAAGATACAATTTTTTAATCTTAAAAGATATAGTTTTATTTACTTTATAATTTAAGATAATGAATGACATTTAATAACTACTGGTAGCTTTATGTGCAAATTTAGAATATAGTTTTAGCATTAGGGAGGTTATAATATACTTATTATATAAAAAAAATTACCCAAAAGATAAAAATTCCAAGTTTGTTCTTTACTTTTATGTTAAGTGTGTCATGCTATTCCAGTTTATATTAATTATCTTTATTTTTGCTAATCCATTATAACAAAATAAAATTCTCACTTTCACCTTCTCCCTCTTCTATTATCATATAATTAGTAACATGCTACAAAAAATATATGTACTAAGTTCATGGATAATACAATATTTCTCTCAAATCACAATTAAGTACATAGTAATAATTATAGAAACCAAATAATATCTTAGTAAAACCATGGGGTGACTATAGGATGCTGTTAGGGTTGTAAATGGTGAGTGTAAATCTAAATCATCAAATGAGTGAATTTATATAGGTTGCAAGTAAGGGCTATTATGATAAATAAAAAAAGCAAGTTTTTTGGATTCCGTAACAGTCAAATGTATTTGCCACTTAAATAAAAACTACAATTGAAAATGTAACTCACTTTCAAGTATGCATGAATGCATGCACTAATGGCATTTTAAGTTGACACTTTGTTTGCAAATTGAAACGTATATTATTAGTTTGTCATATGTGCGTTTTAAGTAGAGAGGTTACAAAAAATAAAAGTTGATATTAGTGAATATTTAATAGGAGAATTATGTCATTATTAAAAATGTATGCATGTAAGCATTTTAAGTTAACACTTTGTTTGCAAATTGAAACGTATATTATTAGTTTGTCATATGTGTGTGCATTCAATTCTCAGCTATTATGTCGAATACAACTTACAATCTTTAAAAAAATTTATGATAACATTAATTTTGGATTAGTGGAGGGGTTACAAAAAATAGAAGTTAATATTAGTGGACAATAATAGGAGAGTTATGCTATTATTAAGAATGTATGCATGTATATGAATGTGTTTATATATATGCAAGTATGTGTTTTATGGATGCATGTATGTGGTTTGGAGGGTATTTTTAGAAGAAATGTTTTAACATACCAACACTTTTATAATAGTGTTAGATAATTTAGATTAGTATTAGGTTTTTTAGAAGTTTGTATGTAATTGAGAAATGAAAAATTAGAAAAAATGATTTAAAAGTTAGGACATTGAAATGGTGAAGTTTTTTAGTCATTTAAAATGGGTTTTCTTAGGGGGAAAGTTGAGATATTATGATGTAAAAGTTAGTGTTAGATTAGAATACGCGACGTTAGCGTTAAATAATGCCTTGAAGTTTATTTTTATATTTTATGTGCATATTATAATATTAGTTGATGCTGAAATTATTTTATTTGCCAGAGGTAACAATGAACGATCTGGAAGTTCTTATTTGTTTGTATAATGGAAAAATTATATACGATCATAATAATACACCCAAGTTGGAAGGGGGGGGTGAGAATGTCGTTGATGGTTTTAAGATTATGCTCTTTTTGACGGGTTGATCAATGAATTACACCAACTTACATTGATCAATCCTAATGAGCATCAAATCAAAGTGCTTTACAATTGGCCCATAATGGAGAGTAGAAACCTTGCCGTTCAGATCAAAGTGGTATTCATCCAATTAGCACCAACATATATGTTTTCACCCGATAGAGGATAGTCAAAGTTGGACGCATGGTGGGCCACAATTATTACCTCCATGGTATAAGAGACAAGTAAGACGACCTCATTCAGTAAAAAACAGAGGTACTATGGAGAATTAGTAAGAAAATATAGATGTAGTCAGTGCAATCAATGAGGCGACAACAATCTCGATGTCCAACAAGCATGAGGAGTTAGAAAGATGATAGATGTAGTCGGTGTATATGAGTGCAAAGTTGTATTATTTTAGGGCTTGATTGTGAGGGGAAAATGTAATTAAATCTTATAAGTATTTTGTGAATTGGTTTTATTTTAAGTTTGGTTTTATTTATGTTTGGAAACTGTAGTAAATATTTATCTTTTTCGCCGCTATTATATTATCATTCTTTAATCATACATTAGTTATCATCATTAGTTATCATCATCAATCTTATTCACTCATGTTATAACCCCTAAATTACTGAATATTAATCTCCATAGAGAAGTCAACACGTGTCTTACACTATGCCTAACCAGACTAATTCAAGACCAAGATAACCTCTGCCTCAGCCCGGCCGACTCGATTGGCCGACAACTTGCGTAACCGAGTCATAAGGTGGTACTACTCGGTCAACCCCTCAATTGACTCGATAAGCGATCCGGCTCGGCTCACTGTTCAGCCGACATCTCACGTAACTGAGTTAAAAGGCGTAATTCTCAGTCGTAGACCTAATGAGTCGAAGGACAATAGTTACCTTGAACCGATCACCAGCCGATTACTCTTGTATTAATTGCCCTGACAACATCATTATTACTCTAGCCCCTATAGTTGTTATGACTCATTGGACTTAGTCAGCAGCAACCATCTGTTGCCATTCCCACAATAAATGACCAGGTGATTCACCTCCTTCAGCAACCGACACATGACACATGTCTGCCGACTTAGCTGCCTACCTGGATTCGGCCCAAGTTACCTTCTTGCCCCTTAAGCCCACTATAAAAGGAGTGACACTACATGAGGTAATTCTCTCTGGCTTTTTTTACGCAACTAAGAACTAACTCTATACTTTCTCACTCAAGATCACATACCTACTTGATTGTCGGAGGAACAATCGGAGAACCCAACTCCGTCCTTTTACAAATTTATTCATGTGCAGGGAAGAACAGCAAGCCCAAGAACCACTCATCAGAAGGAGTTAGAGGACCCTAATTACTCCACAAACCCTCAAATAATCTCATATTTCATAATTAACATTAACAACTTCTATTAATTACGTCACTGCATTTTACTTTTAGTTTTTTTAATGACCGATTGTATTCTAATAATTGTATTTATTTTACATAGAGGTACTATGAGGCCTTGACTGAGACTGGTTATCAGGAATGTATTGTACAAGTAGTCACAACATCATTTTGAGAAAATATAGCCAGAATAGGTAAATAAATTGTTATTTTCTATTATTTTGCATAAATTTATACAAATATATCCTAAAGTTGTTAGCAAACTTTAATATGCAAGAGGTCCCAAAGCTCCCATTAGTGGATCGTGCACAGAGTCATTCCAGTTGGGAGATCACAGGTCGAGATGATTGATTATGATAGATTGTCACGCAGGCCGGTTTCCTTGCATGCTTTGAGGTCCGATGGATCAAGCTTGACTAGCCTCTTATATGTGCTCTAACTGATAGATAGAGGCCAGAAACAAATACATTCCATATGCATATAGGAGAGTGCATGGTTACATTAGAGGATGTATCAATCATATTTAGACTCATGGTGGTCAGTCCAACTTTTACAAGCACTAAGGATCACTACTGGGAGGATGCATGTATGGCGACACTAGGTGATATTCCTTAGCCTCATGTGGTGCGAAGAAGCTTGATCCGCTTCGCCAGAGATTTTAGAAATCGATACCTACTGATGCCACAGTGCATATAATTCAATACTCTGCCCATTTATATATTTTTCACATGATAGGTTGTCTATCTTTCATCCAAAATGCAAATACTAGCATTTGATGAGTTTGAAAAACAGATAAATGAGGGTATTACTGAGATTAATGATCTGAAATCATTATCAGTGTCTAACAAGATTAGATGAACAATTGACGTTGTCTTCCATAGGAATCATCTGGACGAACGTGAAGGGCGTGAGGATGAAATATATCAGCACATGGTGATGTATGAGCGACTAGACGTAGGCCAAGATCTTCTAATGTAGGTAATGATGGAGCCAGTTCTTCTCACCGTGTGATTGATGATGAATCTGACACTTCTCACCATGCTCAATCTGGGGAGGAGGATCCACATGCACAACAACTACCTATACAGCTATATATACAACCAAATGTGAGATCGTCGAGGCTTGTGCTATACATCGAGGATGGCCTTCAGGACGGGTAGGGGTAGGGAAGTGAGAGGAAGGAGGGGAGGCATGCTTGGATGGATGTGACTAATTTTGTCATATTTGGATCACGTATGATATGAGATTTGAACTATATATGTTAGATTGTGTGTTTTTGATTTGTGATTGGATTGATATAAGAGAGCTACTGATATTATGAATGTGTATATTCTTATATTGTGTAGTTTTCTATAGCAGGGCGAAGCTTCAAGCTGGAAAGTTGTGGCTAGGGCTAAGTATATCTCTACGGGATTGTCAACCCCCATAGAGTATTGTGGAAGAATAATCTCTATGAGATTGCCAAATCCCATAGAAGTTTACAACACAAATAAGTTCCATAGCATTGACAATCCCATAGAGTTTATTTGAGTTAATCTACACAAGATTTGCAATCTAATGTAGTTTAATTTAGTCATTAAACTCTAGGGATTGCCAATCTTGTAGAGTTTTTGAATGATTTTTTTAAATCAGTCTAGTTTTAACTGACGTGGCTGAAAGAGTAGGTCGAAAGTGATAAATACTTTTATGAAAAAGTCAATTTTAAAAGTTTCTCCTTTATTTATTATTGAGCTATTATTTCTTTAAAATATAAAAACATTAGAATTTTCCAAATGAAAATAAAAAAGTAAATTAGAAAATAAAAAATAAAAAATAAAAAATAAAAAATAAAAAATAAAGAACGAATCTCATGTGAAATTCTTCCTTAGTAAAATGTTCATATTTGAACAGGTGTCAGTTTTACTTGGGTTAATGAGGATTATCATGAGCAATGTCCCAATAATCTACATTGCAATTTCTTTTAAACGGTTATTTGATACTGTTCATTATTTGTTTTCCTTACCATAATTAGTTTTGTATTGTTTTACTTTAAGCACCCAAGGCTTGAAATCTATTGGTGTTTTAACCAGGTACCTGTAGTTTTTGGACCCAATGTGTTTTCATAATGTTTGAAGGTTTGACCGAGTGGGAGTGGGGTGGTACAAATAATAGTGGGAGTGCTAATTTGTACAGATCACTGTGTCAATACAGTGGGAGTTTCTGGTGTCAAGTTGCAAGGACTTTAACACAAGTGCATTTGAAACTTTCAATATTGTGTCCGGACTCTAACAAAAGAAGTGTTGAGTATATAGACACAGCGGGAGTTTGAGTGGATCAAACTAGAAATAATTTTTAATGGACCCACCATCAATTGATTTGATCAGTGAGGGATTAAGCACTCCACAATTAGACCGTAGGGGTTTCGTGAGGGAAGATTGACCGGATGAAGTTATTGAATCTCATCTCGACGAAAAAGTGCTTGAGAAGTCACAGTGGAGGGTTTTAATCATCTTGGAAATGATTAAATAGCCAGAGTGGGAGGTTCTTAATCATTCTTTATCATGATTAAGAATTTATTGGTTTTGGGTTATCCTTAAGAATACCATGTGTAGTATTCTCTAGGAACTTCCCATCAAAGGTAGGGAATAGTTTAGCCTCGTGTACCAGTTGGAGGTTTGGGAAATAGTTTATACTCGTATACTTGTTAGAGTACAAAGAAGGAGCAGTTTATACTCGTATACTCTTTGGAGTTAGGGGAGACAATTTATACTCGTATACCCAGTGGAGTTAAAAAGAGGAGAAGTTTATACTTGTATACTCTTCAGAGTTTGCAGGCGTAATTTAACCTCATATACCTGTCGGAGGTTAGGTCATCTTTATTTGGCTTATTTTACCGTTATGACGCCATAGTCAATTAAAGCTTGGATTTTATTTTTGAGGCCTAAGCAAGCCTTAGTGAGATGAAGAACCCTCTTGTGATATGCACAATATTTTGGATCCGTAATCCTCTTAGCTCCCTCTAGATTTTTAATAAGTGGTAGCTCGATTTTGTCGTTAGTGAGGAGGTACTTTAATATGGCTGGAACTTCATCATCTTTGAAAGAATACTCCTTCCGGAACCTTGGATAAGGAGTCTTTTGCTGTTTTTGAGGTTGTTGTTGTGACGTTTGATTAACATCAATAGCAACCACATGTGCTGTCAGCTGGCTTCTCTCGGTCTTCTTTCTTCTGAGGAAGCGCTCGACCTATTCTCCATGCACTTTTAATTCCTTCCAGGTGGTTAAGAGGACAATCCCCATAATTTCGAGGACATCGAGGGAGAAATTGTGATGGCAGGTCTGGAGTATGAACTCTTCTGTGATCGGATCTCGGTAATTCATCGCTTTATTTCGGAAGCGTTTGACGAAGGTGTCAACTGATTCTCCGTCTTCTTACTTCTCATCTAGAAGAGCTCCAATTGCCACTTTAATTAGTGTCATCATTAAAGAAATTACTGAGGAATGAGCTTTCCATATCGTCCTAGTAGTTGATGCTCCCTGGCTTGAGACGTTGATACCAATCGAAGGCGTCCACACGAAGGATGCCTACGAATGACAGGATCATCAGTGGTTCATTCCCGAAGATCACTCCCAGATAAGACTTGAAATAGATCAAGTGTTGAGTGGGCAAGCCTTTCCCGTCGAATAGCGTGAAGTTAATTAGGGTGAACTTCGCTGAGTAGGAGATTGAATCCCACTCTCTTGGATACGGGCAAGGAATGCTCGTTTTCCTTACTTCTTGAGTGGACATTAAGGCATTGACCTTATTCTCTAGCTCTATCATCATCTCGTCATCACCTGTATCTTTTGTCGGGCGATTTTGAGGACGAACGATAGGACCACCCTCAGCGTTGTCATTAGTGATTGGGCCACCCCAGTGTTGGTATTATTTTTAGGGTCACCCTTAGTGTTGGTATTATTGTTGGGGCCACCCCCAGCATCTTTATCATTGGGAGGAGCATCAGCATTGATAGTCTCCTCTACCTCTGAGTCGCTATTTACCTGATTGGTAGTATGGCGACGACTAGATTCATCGTGCTGATTTGACAACTCCTAAAGTTGTTGAGCATATAAATCCTTAACCCGCTGCACGACCATCTCCATTTCAATTTTAAAATCTTCTTTTTGTTTGGCCAATGCTTCTTGAAGAAGTCGAGCCACTTGTTCAGTAGTGATCATGAATACTTCTCGAGCTCGCCCTGTGCTAGACATTGTATCGTTGGAGGCGATTATGGAGCAAGTATCTGAAAGTTCATCTTTTGAAGACAGCCCTTCGTGGATCTTCGGGTAATCCCCATGTCTGACGGCTTCTAACTGGAGCTGAGACACTCGTCGGGCTATTCCTGAATCGACTTTTCTTCCTAAAGAAAAGTCGAGATTAGCGTTATTCGAATTGAACACAAACTTTCCTTTGTCAGCCATGTTGATGGTGACTTCTGGGAGTTCGTCATCTTAAATGACCGATCTTCTTTTGCGGGAGCGTCTTGATTTGGGTTTTGACACTTTAATGGAAAGCCTTCGAAATACTGAGACCCTTGTGGAGCGTTCTTGGGATAGCTACACTCTGATAATACTACCCTGATTAGCCTCTCATAAGGGCAGTGTGAGTCTGATTTTAGGTTACTTCTCTTTCAAGAGTTATTCGCACCCCCAGCCCGATAGTACAACTCATCAGCGTTGTGGTCAAAGCAACCTATTAGTTGTTTACTTAAATTTTTAGGTATGACACTATCATCTGTCAGACACGTTTTCTTCTGAATAGGTAACGTCTTGTTGGCGTTCGTAGGAGTCACACATTTGGAATCACACATTCATGAGGGTGAGACCTTAACGGGCTCTTGGTCTTCCACACACCCTCCCAAGCAGGTGGTTATAGGAATCAACTTGTTAGAAGGGTGCATACGATCCCAGTCTGAATAGTTGCTTCAGAATTGAGGAACGACCCCAAACGTTCCTTGACAGAAGTCTTGCCTCGATCTTTGTGTAGAGAACATAGGCGATCCTTCAACAAAATTTTGAATTTGGAGAGATCCACGCTGCCGTAGGGCTTCACCGGAGGTGCGGGAGCAAGAGGAGCGGGATCTGAAATTGACGAAGGCTGAAAAACAACCTTGGAGCTGGAATTGAGTGAGAGACACCATTGGTTCTCTTGCTAGGTAGAGGCGCCTTAGCTGTCTTCGGTGCAGTTATAGGCGCTATTTTGGCCTTCGGCACCCAAACCTACTTAGATCTTGGTGGCTCTTTGACCACCTCTTTTTTTACAACTATTGTGCCTTTTGCACAAGGATCCGGGCATGCGCAAGAAGTACGCAGTGTTTCTGGATGTGCTCCTCGAGAGTAGAACATGTTCATTTGACACGAACCCATTTGTTAGTCGACGGTTGGTAGGAGGATCTACTGCAAATTTCTTTTTTATAAGTAATTGCATTTGTATCTGAATGCAAGTATTAATGTAAATCTGAATAAAACCTGATATGAATATCCAACAAATCCTCATGTGGATAAAATTCTCAGGAAACTATCACATTGAACGAGTAGCATGGTGATTATAATATAAAGTTTAATAGCTCCACGACACTTTAGAGTTGTTAAGAAAAACTTCTCAATTCATTAGAATGATATTCATTTTCATGAAATGTTTTTAATATATTGATGTATTTGTATCACATTATTGCATAGTTTCTCATAAATAATTATGTTCATAGAATATCATTTTTGTATACTCATTTTCATAGATATTCATTTCATATATGTTCTCAATTTTTACAAGTACAGTAATGGTTTTATGATTGATGAAGATCCGCATCATAACCTTTGTCAAATTATAAAATAAAAAAAATGAACACAAAAGCACCATATCCACATTTTACCAGTTCTCTTTACACACTATTAAAATATTCGGTCCGGATACTTTTTGACAATTATAAACATGTTAGTAGTTAAAAAAAAATCATCATGAAAACATGCAATCCGATATCACCATGTCTGTACATGTTCATTTTAGCGAATGCTCAACGCATAATCATAACAGTGCATCATATCTTAATATATTCCAAACATTAAAAATCAAATAATGCAAATATCAAATTTATGACGGCGGTTACTTGGCAAAAAATGGATGACGAACTTAATTATACATATGTAGAGATATATGTATATATCTTAATATGTTTGCTTGAACCTTACCAAAAAGGGGGGAAAACAACCTTTCACCTCTTTGGGTGTAATCACATGGAAATGGAATATTACAAAACGTACAAACAATTTGAGGGGGAAAAAGAACTATCTACCAAAAATGAGAGAAGAAAACTTTTACAGGCTATATAACAGGAAATATAATATATTCGGCATAAAAGAGGTTCCAAATAAACCGATAGAACTGCGATATTGCTTCCTGAAAAGGACAATGGTAATTTGGTCAGCTACTGAAAACACGTAGTTGAAACAAAATATAATAACTTTTCAGAACTAAGCAATTTAGGACTTAATACAATAAAATGACAGAATAGATAGAACTTTTTACCTTGCTGTATTTTGCTTGCTCCAGAACCCAAGTCTGAGATAACATACACACAAAATCATCAGCCAGAGACAACATTCATAAAGGGTTGACTTGATCAGGCAACCTACTGGATTTGAATTCAAGAACAAAGAAACAGAACATGGAGCAAACATGCATATTTTCTCCACATTAATACCTGGTCCTAAGTTGCATGGAAACGGGCACGAGTACTAGTACGGGTGTGGGTGCGGGTACGGGACACGGCAAAACTATAAAATGTAGGGTACGGGGACACGACTACATATATATATTGAATTAATACTATACATAAGATAACTTTTTCCCCTTCATGTGTCATTAGAATTAAAATTCCGATCACATTTTTGAGTTTCTTTTATCATATTGATTATCGTGAATTGTAAACTACTCATTTTTTACTAGACATCTAAACGACCCATTAACTATATAGTTTTAAACTTGGGTATGGACTGAAATGAATTCGACCCGTATCTCATTAGTTTCAAAAGACGGATGTGAAGTGTAAACTCTACGTCCAGGAAGTCTTTGACAAGTGTTTTAAATTAACACATATATCGTATAATTGAGTACATGTTGTAATAAATGCATGCATATATTCAAGAAGTGTCCATGAAGTTTGGGTACGGGAAAGTGTCGGGTAAGTGTCCGGTACGGGTACAGCTTCATTATAGAAGTACCCGGGTAACATAGGGTCCTGGTCCTATAGGATATTTCCCTAATTTGCCTAAGTGGTTAAGAAGATAAGAAGATAAGACAACTAGACTTTTGAATATCATCATCTACTAAGCTCTTTTTTTCCCTTTTGATAAATAAAAATAGCTAATGTAATTCAGAAGCTTTTAAAAATCTCGATAACATTAAGTAGTGGAAGCTTTAACAATATTATAATGTTTCTGCTGGCTATAGCTCAACCTTTACATATTTGTTAATGTTTCCCTATTTTACAGGGTATCAGGTCAAGTTGCTCTTGTCCAATATCCTATTTCAATTGATAAGTACTGTTAACCCATCTAGATGGTAAATTGAAGATCTAGTTCAGTAACGCTGACGTGCAATCACTTACAGGTGAGATATAGGAACCTATGCAGATAACCAGGATGATGTGCCGTTTGTCTTATAATCTCAGTAACATATGATTACATTTTGCAAATTACACGACATGAACTACATGGATAAAATAACTTCCATTCCAAAGAGTTCATCAAATAAATAGTAAATCAATTATTTAGTGGCACAACGGCTGGTATCGTTTAGTAAGACAGATGCATATTCCTATCAAGGGTCTATGTAATAGCTAAATGAGCATTGTATTCAAGAAAGTAAAGAAGAACCTGGAAAATCAGCCACAGTGCTAATAAAGCGTGTGCGGGTATCATTAAGCCTTGTCTGAAACCCTGCACAGCAAAAGACATCATTCAGTCCACAATAAACAAGGGATGGGTTATCCATCTAGCTTTCGGATGTTTCAAGTAACAAATTTGTTTATGTACAGTTAGCTTCAAGCATTCAACCTGTATCCTTGAAAATAAAGTGAATTAAAAGGGCCACTTGTTATGGTGAAATTTGTCAGTAATTAACAACCCCAGCAATGCCAAGAGATATCTGTTTTTACCTGTGGCATGTAAATTGCTACAAGAATAGCACTGAGATAATTTGCCAGCAAAAGACCAGAGCCAAGAAGTGCTATATTCCTGACACCAAGCTTTGTTGCCAAGGTTGATATTTTGAACCTACATGAAGAACGTAAGGCAAAAACAAAGGAAGAAGAAAGAATTCAATTTGGTGAAGGAATGAGTTGTATGTTTACATCACCGAACATTTTACTTGAGTAGATTTATTCTGATAGTTTACAATGCAACTAGAGAAAATTATTTAAAAATAGTTACAAAAAATAAAAGATGCCCTTATACACCATAATTTCTAGAAAAATGATAAATCAGTATCAATTTAATAATTACAAGAAGAATATTATAGACTAGACTTTCTTGTAAGATAGTTTCCACAAAAAAATATAAAAACCTGGGGTATATTAACAGACATATTTACTCACTTGCGATCTCCTTCAACATCTGACAGATCTTTAGTTATAGCAATGACAAAAGCAAACAGCGTCACAAAGGCTGTGATGAAAGCTACAGGTGAACTGCAGATAGAAATATGGCACATGGCATTAGACATGACCATCATCTCTGCATAAGTCTGCAATGAGATGCAAAACAACTTTTACCCACTATTCAAATTCAGGCGTTAACAACATAATGCATATTTTTGTGCATGTATGCATAAAATAGTTTACTATAAGGGACCATGAAAATGCAAAGAACATTGTCTACCTCCATTTAAAGGAAAGACCCAAAGCATCTCTGGTGGCATAATATACTCCAAAATTGAGAAGAAATCCACGTACCTAAGAAAATCAAATGAATGAAGCATCAAAGGAAGATATTCCATGGAATAATCATTACTTGGGTATAGTAGATTTAAAAATGAAATGAGATGTAAACACAAAGTTCTGAAGGAAAAAAAGAACTTATGCAGCATAAATTCAGAAAATACGGAAGGATGTTTCTGCAAGATAAGGTCCAAAATGTAGATAAAGGATAGTGCGTATAATCACAACAGCAAAATGTGTATAGCATAATTTTAAAAATTGTAAACCAAAAGAGGTCTGCATGACTATTGATCCAAGATAGTGAAGGAACATGCCAGCTTACTAACAGCCAAATATGGCCAGAACCTCTTTACAAATCGTTAGCATCAAAAGCAATCTATCTTCCTACCACAAAACAATTACTTATCACTTGCTTGTTACACCCTGTAAGACTCTCATAATCATGTAATTTTATGCTATAGACGGATAACATGCACTTAGATAGTCATATTTGACATAATGATCATGGACAAGAAAAATGCGTAACGTTACACTCTCAGAGTTAATGAGTACTAAAGCGCTGTCTTCCACTGTCAAGGTTTAAGTTCTTTCCTGTTGGTTTGCATTTTAAATATTTTGTACTTAGTAAACCTGTCCTAGAAGGATTTGTAGCAAACCTGTCCTAGAAGGATTCATTGCTCAGATTGATGTCATATATAATAACAGGAAATGAAATACCCTTTTATACATATTGGAATCACTTTAATAAATTAGAAGTATATAGATCAGACAGTAAATGAACTGACTAATACTTCCACTTGAATGCATGAGGTATGAGCAAGCAATGTTGCCCATTTGGTTTTTACATGCTAACTGATAAATTGCTAATATGCTATAGGCTGCAATCATAATTTATCTATGCTCTAAATTTGACACTTGACACCTGGAAAATACATGACAATGAAAAAAAACAAAAACAAAGAGGAAAATGTAATACCGTGGCAATAATAAGAAATGCCGCAACAGGATATCTCTTTAATCTGAATGGAGGAACAGAATATATAGTTCCAAGAAAAAGTCCCAGACAATAAAGAGAAGATATGAATGGCCCAAAGTTCAGTCCAACAATCAGAAGGCCAGCAGCTGCAAAAGCTAACACCAAAATCCATGCTGATTGAACTGATAGATCTCCTGCGGCTATGGGCAAGTATGGCTTGTTCACCCTGAAAACAAAGAAATATAAGCAAAAACACAACACTTCCAGCCAGCATGACTGAAAAAAGTCATGTTTTTGTTTAATAAGGAGAAAGATAAGTTTGAGGGGGAAAAAAGTATATCGTACTTGTCAATTCCGATATCATAAATCTGATTAATCCCAACAATATAACCATTGCCACAAATAAGTGCTATAAGTCCATAGAGTGCCTTAATCGTCAGCCACCAGCTTATCAGATTTGGGTTCTCAATCAGGGCTCTTGCTACCAAAGCTCTGCAATCAGAAGGAGATGAATTGAGGATACTAATAGTGCAATAACAAGAAAGAACTAAATTATGGTTGATTGATCAATAATTAATTGAATACAAATTCAATCTAGAAATCCAAAAACTTACATGGACCCTAGAGCAGTCCCGCGAATCGTGTGAGGCCTTAGAAATCTCCAAAAAGAATCTCGGAACTCTGCAAGTATTTTCGATAAAGGACTGGACCCATCACTAGCAACTTGAGAGCATGCCTGAAAAAAAATACTTGAACTTAGTTCGAGTTTCTTCAGTATCAGTATATCACAACATGTAATGGGGGAAAAATGAATAACTTCCTTTAACTTTAGGCAGCATATAACAAGAAGGAAAAAAAATCAGAACAAAAAATTGCAAATTCAATTGATATATGTAAACTAAACACAATCACATTACACACCCTTACTTACAAGCAAACAAAGTATAGATACTTTGCAACTACCATGACAATTATAATTTTTATTTTTCGTTATCCTTATCATCACCATCCTCATTATAAATGAACACTCACTGCTCATAATGTTAGGATTATGTCTTTGATTCTTTGTATAACTTCATGAGAATTAGATAGGGTTAGGGATCTATCATGATTAAGAGATTGAGTATCATCATGATTAGGAGTTTGTATCATATTCTAATTAGGAAGTTTGATTAGGGGTAGAGTTTTGGTTTCCCTATATATATATTCTTCTATTATTAGAGGAAAAATAAAAGGAGAGGGGATAGAGAGAGCTAAAATTCTTGTAATCTAGGGTTAGCAGAAGACGTAGCTTGATTCAAGAATATTATGCGAGAGACGATGGTTTCTTAGTCTTTGACTATGCAAAAGATTATAATATTAGGAGAGGATTTCGTAGTATTTGTCCGTCCAAAAGATTGTAAGGAGTGAGCTTTTGAAAAAAAAATATAAGAGTTGATTATGTATGTGAGGTTAAGAGATTGAGATATGAGAGTTGAGTGGTTCCTCTTATAGTTCTCGTTGATACATAGTGGATTTCTTGTATTGTTTACCCATGGATGTAGGTAGAAGTTGGTCAGCCGAACCATGTAAATCTCCATGTTTTTTATTCTTGATTGTGATTGTTTTAATCTTGCGAAATGCGTGTTGGCTTCCGAGTTGCGGAGATCGTAGTATGCGAGGAGAATAAAATTCTCCAACAAGTGGTATCAAAGCCATGGTGATGGATCCAAGGTTGAGTTCACAAGATAGAAAACAACGTCGTGCAATTTTGAAAATCGGCATTACAAGAATTAAGATGAAGAAAAAAAAGGAAGGGTCAGCGACCTCCAGCAAGAGGAAGATCATCAGCTTCGACGATTGGTAGCTGCCAGTGAGGCAGATGGTGGTGGTGACCTGTAGTCACGAAGGAAGCGGCTGAAGTCGCGGTTGGGTTTGATGGAGGCATAAAAAAACAATCTGTGAATTGCAAAACAAAGGAAGAAAGAAGGCAGTGATATGGTTTTTGGGTCATCCGTACTTGATGTTTTGGATCTCACATGATTGGTGTACTCATGGGGATTCGTGGTGTTTGGTGTTTGTCTGCGGTTGGTATTCTCATGAAAGCATTGAGCACAATCGCATGGGTTACTCACGAGGGATGGGAGCACTTGATCTAATGTGGAGTTTTATGGTGTTTGGTGTTTTACATACACATCAGATGGTTCAGATTGTTTTGTCAGTATTGGTGAATTGAAGGTGGATTTTGGTGATCCAGAAGTTGATTTCTACGTTTTTGAGTGCTCTAAATGCGATGAAGGGTTTTATTTTTCAGATTATGCTCGAATTAGTCAGAAGGTAGAGGAAAGTTCTGATAGTAGTGACCGGACAGATCT